ATTTTTAGAGAAAGAAAAGGTCTTGATCTGTAACACATGGTAACACCTTAGCAGCCACCTTTTATGACCCTGGCAATCGCCTGGTTATGTCCAAAATATCATCAAATGCATCCTAGCAGCCTACTGCTGACACTGTGGCAGCCATGTAACACCTTCACAACCTCATTGTATGACCCTAGCTGACACCCTGATGCCTTAGCAAAGACTTGTCAAACACATGCAACCGCCTGTTAAGGCCAAAGCAACTTCCCACTAACGCACTTTGGGAACTGATTAACACCCAAGTTACCATTAATACCTTTGCCAACACTTAGTAATATCACAATGACCACCTACAACACCCTAGAAACCACTTTAACAGCTTAGCGAACAGCTGCTTGTTACCTTTACCACAATCATTCACTTTTTTTTGATGTGATACTCTAAGTAATTTTATTCAACATTTTTTGCCAATTCCCTCAATGTAAATATATTTTTGATATGATTTACATTTTGAGTCATGGCTATTTGTTCAATGGTAGTACAAATTGCTGCTGTATGCTCTAAAAAAATCTTTACCAATCAGCTGTTCATATACAAATTTGGGCTGCTAATTATTAATTAATTACTTATTCGACTAAATATCTTCTCCAGAATTTGAGATCGGCTTCACCGATTGAAACATAGACACCCAGTGCTGAGGCCTCTAGTTCCTAGTCCTCCCACGCCAATTTATGTGGGAACATAAAATGCATAAAACAAATGGAAAATTGTGGGAACATAAAATAAATATAAAATTGAAGCACGATATCAACATTAACCATAGAATAAATTATCCAATGAAGTTTGAAAAAAAAAAAAAAAAAAACATTTACCTTTAGAGCCTTTGCAAATTACAATACTGGCTAATTTGAACTTCTGGAAAGCTGTGTGGGTGTTCCCTAATATTCATAAGATTTAATTGATGTCTCTCTGTCCAATCACATCTTACAAACAGCACAGTGGCAAAAGCAGACTGAGAAAAGCAAGATGGTAAGCACAGGAGGCATTTTTTCTTGAGCAGCCTCGCCAATTTAAACCATCAGAGGAAGACTGAAAGGGTGGCAGTGATTTCTCTGCAAAATCTTATTTCATGAGGGTTACAAGTGATGACCGAGTGGAGGGCTGGCTTACTGATCAGAGCCTGTGATTGGTTTACACACTTCTACTGAATTAGGTAATGTAGTTTTCAATGCAGTGGTCAGTGCTTGCATTTGAATCAACTCACCTATTAATAATAATAAAAATAATTAATACTTATATTGCGCATTTTAACATGGAACATGTGGTCAAATGCGCATTACTAGTAACGAAAAAAATGGAAAGGATGGTTTTTTTGGACAGGAGAGAAGAAGCACACACCAGTGTTGGAGAGGTGCTGACCACAGTGAAAATGCAGATGTGAAGGACTGTCGCACACTTGTTGCAAAGATAAGATAACAATCAGTGGTAATGTGCTGTAATGAGTTGATCATTATCGCATCGTGGTTTTGCCCTTCTTTACAAAAACTGCACTATTAATTGCTGCATTTCAGCCTATTCAGGTGCATATGAGGTGAATGTGAAATAAAGCCGAGGTAGAGAGAGTCTTACGGTACCGGTGGATTACTCGAGTCCGACGTGACGTCACCTTGGGCTGAAAAGGTTCGCGCCCAATTTGAACAACAACGCTGTGAAAGGAAAATTTTTTTAACTGGTGAGTCTGTTTTGGGAAAATTGATCATCTCATACTAAGTATATGTACACTGTACACCCCGAAGGTCCAATTAGATAGATGAAAGAGAATTGATGATTGAATTTCCTGAAGACTTAAAATGATGTGCCATTTACATTTTATATTACAAATTACGTAACATTCATGGTTTGTTAAAGTGGTCAATACCTCAGACTTATCAATTATTAATACTCCGCTGTAAAAACGACGCAGTGTGCACTTAAACACACAGCCATGCATCCCACATGCACGCACACGCATCCGCGCATTGGTAAGTTCACGTGCATCATCTTCGCGCGTGCGGAAAAGCGTCTGTGATGAGCGCACAGGCTGAGTACCGCCCGAGCTAATCTCGGGGGGTGATCTCAGAAACGGCGTTACACAAAGGGCTGCGTCACGCACCAGCGACACAACCTGTGCCTTCGCTTCGCCTCCCGCCGTGTGTGTGTGTGTGTGTCTCGATGATGGGAGGGGGGAAGAGGGGAGGAGTTATCATCAGCTGCTCCTCTCTCCATCTGCACTTCGAAAAAGACGCTCGCTCTTGAAGGATAGAGGGAGAGTCAGAAGACTGATAGACACAGCGAGAAAGGGACTGAGACATAACCGTCCCTTTCCTCTGAGCAGGAGAAAAGAGACACTGAGACAGATAGCAAAGCAGATCCCTCCACCCCCATTTCCCGGAGGGAGAGAGCTCGCTCGCCCACCAGCCGGAGGAAAGGGCGGTGGCCATGGAGCAGCCAGCATCTGGCCTGCGTCGCCGTAGCGACGGCTCGGCGATAGAGTGCCTCTTCTTCCCGGTGAGGGAGAGGAACGAGCAGGAGCGGCTGGAGGCCCTGATGAAGAGGTCAGCAGAGCAGGGCCTGTCGCTGGACAGACCCAAGCGGTGGACGTGGGGGGGCCACACCCCAACTGCAGGCCAGGACGGTGAGATTTGGGCGGGGGGGGACAAGTCGGGGCATGTTGATCGAGAGAGAGAGCAAGAGAGGGAGTGGAATGAAGAGGATGAAATTGATGTAGGGAAGCTGCAATGCAGAGGAGCTGTCTTAAAAAACATGAAAATAAAAAAGATGTAATTTTCAGAGGGATGTGACTCATGAATTAGCAGGCCCCTAAATTAGCATTGATGTGTCTCAAGGTTTGAGCAGTTCCCTGTTGGGCAGCGTTAGAAAGGTTTGGGTGGGCAACAGTTTAATAACAGCACTGAGGGTGCCGTGACTGCATCGTTCGCACCACTCCCTGCTTATCAGCAGCGTCGGACCCGGGATCTGGGCATGTCCGTTTTTGATGGCAGCTAGGTCATACGGGGCTATCGCTCCCAGCGGTAGCTGCAGGGTCTATTTTATGGCTGTTGACTATAATGTTCTCCTCTCCCAAGGTTACCACTACCTCATCCCAAAGGAATAAATTTCCTTCTGAGATCTTTGCAGTACATGATGGCAATTGGATACCTAGTTAACATATTTTAATGTGTTATATCTGAGTGTATATCATGCACAAGTATATATACACAGACGGGGGGGGGTAGAGGGGGGGATGGGGACACCTCCCTGCCATAGCTGCATTCAGTCAGTAATCAATTATTTACCCTGTTGTGACCGGGGAGGCTACAAAACCAAGCGATGAATAATGACTGGAGACGGTGGCCTGATCTCGAATCAGAATGTTAGAATTTGTTTTCCCTCAGTGTCGCATACTTGTTTTAGATGGAGGTTCTATGGTAAGGGATGTGTCAGCTGGAGCAGAGACAATGGGCGACGGTGCAACAGCACTCATTAACATTAGGCTAGCGTGGATGGAACATAGAGATGACGTATGTTGTGGTCTTTTGTTCAACAATGTTGAACCACCCATAAGACGGGTTGAGTGAAGACTGCTCTTCTTTGGCTGGGTAAATATTTGTTGTCATGTCTCGTGATTCAACATACATAAGAGCAGAAAAGTAGTGCTTCATGGATCAAGAGGAAAATTTTGAATTAGAGAATTATATTCTTTGCTATCAATATTGCAACTGACTTCATTTACCAGCCAGTAATGGGCTAATGGGAACTTAAATGGCATGCACCCATATATTCGCTGCACGGCTGTGAACAATGATTGATATCAGGTATATTTTGTTCGAGATATCAAAGGATGTTGGATAGCATGACATTGCATTTTTTATAATAATGTTGTTTTGTCTCTCTTTTTTAAGAGAGGAGAGTCCACTGGATGAAACAATAATGATATTTTCATGACTATGTTTAATTGCGAGAGCAGAGCTCATTGTGTTTAGAGGCCAGTGATTAAGACATTTTCAGGATATGTGTTCTTCATTACTAGCATCTGTCAATGTTAATTAAAAAAAAATCTGATTTCTATTTAGTTTTGTGCGTGTGTGTGTGTGTGTGTGTGTGTGTGTGTGTGTGTGTGTGTGTGTGTGTGTGTGCATGCGTGTTCACGCGCATATGCTTGTCCTGTGGTGTATGAGTTTTTATGCAAATCATTCAGCCCGTGCACTTAATGAGCGAGTGTTTGCAAGCGTGTGTTGATCTGTACTAATGAGCGTGTTCATGCTGCAATCTAAGAGCTCCTGGATAGCACCAATGAGTCAAATCTTAGTTACTGACTGTTGGCTGCAACCGGCTGAGTTTGATTGCTGGCCAATCTGTCAATACTATCTGACCCTCAGCAAGCCACCCCATTATTAAAGCATCTCTCCTCTCCCTCTGGCTACATACTCATGGCTGACAAACGGTTGAGCAACATTTCTGCAACCCTTCCTCCCCGAGGGGCTTCAGTGCAGTTCAGCTCTCAGTTTGCAGCAAAAGAAGGCTGACCCGATTTGAAGTGTTTCTCGGGCTGATACCCATAGCTGGACCACTCACTGGGTTGAGGGATTCAATACGTTTCGGGGCTGTTTGCATTAGTTTGCCACAGAGTGAGTGAGCCGGCGATTTTTTTAGACTGATTTGCAAGGCGAGAATGTTGGTGAGTTGGTGAATTACGGGCTAATTTAAGATAAGGTGGATAAGATGTACTTTATTGAACTCCGTGGGGTAATTTATCCTCTTAATTTGAACCATTCTACAAGTAGATACTTAGGGGCAGTGGGCAGCCACAGAGCTGCACTCAGGGCCCAGTGCTGCAGCCAGAGCCTTAGTCAAGGGAACTGGTGGGTGTGTTCCTATAGTGCATGATTTGCATGATTTTCTGGGCTGGGGTAACTGGAGCTAGAGAGGGAAACCCATACAAACACAGGGAGAACATGCAAACTCCACACAGAGAGGTCCTGGTCGACCGGGACTCAAACCCAGAACTTCCTTATTGTGAGGCAACAGCGCTAACCACTGTGCCACCGGGCTGCCCAGAAAATATAGAGTCATTTGGCTATGTGGACATTGAAGATGCCAGATCCTACAGGCAAAGTATAGCCTGACAAGCGTGTATTAGCATGTATACCATCTGTGTGGGGGGAAAAAAAAGGTTTTATTTACCATCACTGCTGGTTATCAAAAGAAAGTGAAAGAGGCTGACCACTAAATGAAATATGACTATGAAACAGAGCATAAAGGCACAGTTTTAAAAAGAAAAGGTCTGTTTACAGCATTGAATATCTTCAATGGATGTGATGTATAGAGATGTATCAACTACTACGCCATGTTTCCAGCAGTATTCACTGCAAATGGTGATATTTCAACTGGGATGGCAGTTGTTGATAGGAGCTATACTTTTGCCAGGATGGAATAGAAAATCATTTCTAGCTTGTGATTTATTGCTTCCTGTAGAGTAATTTCATTTTAAGACTGGAACCGTCTCATTGAAGTTGCATGTCACAGATATTTAAAGCGTCAGAGATTCCACGATTTCCACCCTTTAAAAACCCTTTAGTTGTGATTTTCCCCAGTTTTTAGTGCTGCGATTTTTTTTTTTTTTTTTTTTTGCATATATAAATGGTAACTGCTCTATTGCGGCCCACAGTAAGTTGTTGCAGTTTAATGTTTATTGGGTCCTGTGTCTACAGTGCTAGTGCTGAGGATTCCATTTTCTCTTGTTGTGGTAATGCTGTCAGAGAAGAGGAGTCTCATTAAAGACTGAATGAAAACAAAGACACGGAATCCCTGCTTTGAATTTAGAGGCTAAAAGCATAGTCTATATCTGACAATATTCTTTCAAATGCACAAATTGAAAGTTGTGAATGTGCCAATTTCCTCTATTTTTGCATATTTGTCACCCTAAATTCAGTCACATCATTGATTTTCTCATTGATTGAGTGGCCTTATCAAAGCCCTGACTTGAACTCTATTGAGATGCTTTGGCAGGGCTTACGCAGGCAGCCCATAATCAAAACCCCTGCAATATGGCATAGTAATTAAAGCAATTTCAGCAAACAATAGTGGGCCAGAATTCCTACAAAGCAATGTGAAAGACTGATCTACAAGTAAAAGAAGCATAAGGTTGCAGTTGTAGCTTCCAGTAGTGGCACAGTCAGTTATTAAGCTCTGGGGGAGCAATTGTTTTTTCACGAGTAAAAAGTGTTGGTGTGAGATAACTTTTTTTTCCCTTAATAAATCAAAAGTTCATTTAAAAACCATACTTTGTGTTTCCCTGTGTTCTTTTTGTTTTGCATTTCATTTTGTATGAAGATTTGAAACTATTTAGTGTGACAAATGCAAAAAACAAAATTACAGGAAATCAAGAGTGGGTAATCGAGTGTTTGCACCTATATCGCGGTTTGCTCTGCAATCCGGATGTATAGCCATTATGGAGGTAGTTCAGGAGACAAACTAATGCTGCATTTCAGACGTCCTGGGAACTGGGATATACCCAAGTCCCAGCAGGAAAAGTGCAGTCGCATGCCTCTCCAAGTGGGAATTCTCACCAGGGAGCTCCAGTATGATTTGTCAACTCCCAGTTCATGAAGAGACTGAACGTGACATTGAGGCACAATGGCTGTAAAAACTGTAAAGAACGGTTTTTAATGAAACATATTGTTAATAATATGAAACTAAGCCTTATTTATGCTTTTGGGACTGCAGTCAATGCATTGCAACTGTAAATGTGAAATATTTTTTGCTCTCTTCTCCCTGATTTGTGATAACTTTTAGCAATCTGAAAATTCCTAATGCTCTTCCTGGCCTGAGTGATTAGTATAGCCAAAAACACGGTAATAATAGAGTACTGTAATCTAAGCAACAATTATCAGGAACAGTTGCGAGTTTGGTTGCGTCATTTACGTTGAGTACCTCCAAAATGGCTGACTTCTTGATCAATGACGTGGTGTAAACCCATGATACTTTTTTCAGAGCACTGTATGCTGTTTATTTTACACTTTTATTCATTCATAATTCTTGAGTCTGCTGTATGCATACAGTGATCTCGATCTCAGTTTTAAAATGTGTGTTGGTTGTTGAGTGGGGAGGATAATTGCAGCTGTTACAGTTGAAAGCAAAGCATGTTTTGAGATTAACAAGTTTAAATTTTTTGAATACTTGAATATACTGCAGTAAGTAACTGTGGTCGCTAATCATTTCAATAATTGATAGCTTCCTATTCCTTAAAAGTTGGAGAGTTTGCTCAGTTTTGAATGCCTGAGAATATAGGCATCTCCTTTCTTGGGGGTGACGCCTCCTACTAGTACAGAGAGCCTCACTAGATCAGGAGGCCATGACGCCTCTCTGCAAAATTTGGGCTGGTGTGTCTTGACTTCAGGCGGAACTCTTGTGGGTATTCTATTTCCCCATGATATTGTCACATAATACTAACATGAATATTGCAGTAACAAAATATGATGTACAAACCTCAATTCCAGTGAAGATGGGATGTTGTGTAAAGCATGAATGAAAACAGAATACAATGATTTGCAAATCCTTTTTGCCCCATATTCAATTGGGTACCCCACAAAGACAAGATATTTAATGTTCAAACTGATAAACTTCATTGTTTTTTTGGAAATATTCACTCATTTTGAATTTGACGCCTGCAACAGGTTCCAAAAAAGCTGGGACAGGGGCAACAGAAGACTGGGAAAGTTGAGGAATGCTGAAAAAACACCCGTTTGGAACATTCCACAGGTGAACAGGTTAATTGGAAACATGACTGTCATGATTAGGCATTAAAGGAGCAGCCCCGAAAGGCTCAGTCATTCACAAGCAAGGATGTGGCGAGGTTCACCACTTTGTGAACAACTGCATGAGCAAATAGTCCAACAGTTTAAGAACAATGTTTCTCAATGTGGTATTGCAAGGAATTTAGGGATCTCATTATCTACAGTCCATAATATCAGGGTCATTCCACGTCAAATCATCCAGGGGGTGCCAGGTCACGTCCTCAAAATTCTTGGAAAAAATTCACTAGTAAATATTTACACAAAATGAAAAAATGCCAAATATTAGGCCAGTATCTCAAATAGTTTTCAAGTTATAGCCCTTTGAAATTAGAATAATATTTGAAGTTTTTTGGCGAACCCATTTTCAGCCAACTTTGGCAACTTACTGCTCCAAATTGATTGTTCATAAAAGGCTGAAATTGGGTATACTAACCATATTCATCCCCTAGAATCAGAAAATGGCCTGAGATTCTGTGTATCTTGATCCACTTTTGTATGGTAAAGCCTCAAAATCAGCCGAAAACACAAAATGCCCAAAAACGAGACCACATTTAATGACCTGTAACTCAGGAACTGAGTAAGATAAAAGGCTAGAATTCATTTTTTATGATTTTATGATATATCTTTCTGTAAAACTGCAATAATCTAAGTAATGTCATTTGTAGAAGTTTTTAATGAAATAATTTCTAAGTAAATTTTTCAGGTTTTGCCCCAAAATGCCCTTTTTTGAGGCAAAAAATGACCATGTCTCCAGTTATTCATCTCTCTGAAATTTTTACTGTGCAATTTCATGAATGTGAACAATGTCTGAGAAAAAATAGAATGATGTTCAGCTTATTTTTTTTGTTATGAATTTTTAAATTGTTCTAAAATTTACCTAAACGCGTATAGGGCTGCTGCTTTTTTGTGGTGAATGTTTCTGGGATCTGCACAGTACCTTTGATTCTTCTCATAGTAAGTTAAAAACATTTTGTCATGATGACAACACACAGAATCAATCTGCAGAACACCAGACCGCCACTGCATTAAGGCAGTATCCTCACTTGAGAAAGTATCTAGTCCCAAGAGTCCAGTTTTTCTTGTAAATTTCCTTGAATGACATGCATCATCTAAATGGATTCCAATACTGCACCAAGTTAAATTACTCCCCTCCATTTCAGTGCTCATGATGATCTAATAATCCCCAAGTAGGACTGCCTCCTTTTATAGTGAACAATTATTGCGTAATTCAGGAATACAAGTTTGGGCTCATTTAGGATTACATCAGAAGCCGGTGATCAGTCAAGTCATGGCATGTTTGAGGCACTAATGTCATCCCCAAACAGTCATCCCCAACAAAAATAATGAAACCAATGAAACTGAGGAATAAATCTGTGGAATCTAGCAAACATCGTAATATTCTGACAAGACCTCTGTCATGTATTTTAATTTTAGATGGTGTATCACGTTCCAAAAATATTTTTAATCAATGTTTTGTTTTATATTTAGTAGATAACAGCACTTGCATCAGGCCTATACCTGTTTAGTCAACGAAAAAATACACAATTTCGGAACATATTTTAAAAATTCATATCAAAAAAGTAAGCTGAACATCATTCAGATTTTTTGTCAGACACTGATCGCATTTATAAGATTGCATAGTGAAAATTTCAGAGAGATGAATAATTGGTGACATGGTCATTTTTTGACCAAAAAAGGGCATTTTGGGGCAAAACCGGAAAAATTTGCTTAGAAATGATTTCATTAAAAAACTTTTACAAATGGTATTACTTGGATTGCTGCATTTTTACAGAGAGATATATCATAAAATCATAAAAAATGAATTTTAGCCTTTTATCTTACTCAGTCCCTGAGTTACAGGTCATAAAATGTGGTGTCGTTTTTGGGTGTTTTGTGTTTTCGGCTGATTTTGAGACTTAACCATACAAAAGTGGATCAAGATACACAGAAGCTAAGGCCATTTTCAGATTCTAGGGGATGAACATGGTTAGTATACCCAATTTCAGCCTTGTATAAGCAATCAATTTGGAGCAATAAGTTGCCAAAGTTAGCTGAAAATGGGTTCACCAAAAAACTTCAAATATTATTCAAATTTTGAAGGGCTATAACTTGAAATCTATTTGAGATACTGGCCTAATATTTGGCATGTTTTTTATTTTGTGTGAATATTTACTTGTGAATTTTTTCAAAAACCTTTGAGGAGGTGACCTGGAAAATTTCTCAAAATCTGGATGATTTGAGATGGAATGACCCATC